TTTGCAAAATGTCGATTGCAGAAATGCAGTTAAAACCATTTTTTTTCTCATATGAAGCCCAAGAAGAAAAATAAGTAATTTTTTCCATGTAAAAAGGCTTTTTGCCATTTATAATAATCGATAAATGGCGGGAAGCATTTTGATATAATCCTACCATTCTAATATGATTTATATGAACTGTTTCACCCAGTTTGTTTGGATGCCTTTTTGTTGCAGAATCTGAACCATATAAGAGTGGGAAGAAAAAAGCAAAAACATAAATATGTTTTAAGCATTGTATTTTTCTCAGTAATAAAGAGTAATTATCCAATTCCTGATTTTTATCCATTGGTGCTCCTTTTTTCATCTGATAATACTGAATTAATCCTGCGTGCCGGATAACATGCATTTTTCCTATACATTCATTTTCTACTGTTGTGGGAAAACTGTACCTTATATGAATTGTCAGATAATGCACACCACAGACCTGTGAACTTTAATTATGATGCCTCAGCTGACTGAATCTGAGTTTCTCCTAAGTGTTTTTGTAGACATGCTGACATTGTGCCATTCAGCTCTGTAAATTCACAGAAGACTGGATCTGTCTTGCACAGACCTTAACATGATGTAGTGCTTTCAAGCTCTGAATTGGTTCAGTGTTCAGCTCTGCAAGGTTAGAGAGAGGGGAGGGAAGAGGGATGGCTCAACGCCTGAGTAAGTATGCCTACACTAAAGGTAATTGCTTCTTTCCTTCCTTCAGCACCTCCTCTAGCTCTCTCCACTCCTCCCATCCTCATGCCTGCGTATACATCACACAATATCTGTCTGCAGTTACAAGGGCTTTCACATCCCCCTAAACAGGGAACGAGAACAAGAATGAGAGAAACTGAGAGTAAGGTGGCTACAGACACTTTTCTAGTTAATCAGGAGGATCGCTTCCCTTCTTGTCTTGTCCTCCTGGCCCTGGTGTTGACGTGCATGCTGCTGTCTCTCCCTCTGAGCTGCTACACAGACACAGTCACCAGAACACATAAGGAGCGCGGCTTGCTGGTTCTCTCACTCTCTGGAGCACAGATTCAAGATGCAGCAAGAAACCACCTTTTTCTATTCCCCTTCAGGTAAGCAAATTTCTTAATCTTGAGATATTCAATGTATACCTAATTTTCTATATTTAAGCATCCTGTTATATTATTTTTAAGTGTTCTTTTCCTATCCTTTTCATTTTTATCTGTATATGCTTTTTTCCTATTCTTCACACATTTGTTGTTCTACAGGAGGTGATAATGCTTGTTGTTGTTGTTGTGCCTCCTTCCATATGGCAGTGCTGAAGGTGGAGTAGCTGCTGTTACTACAACTGGCTCACTCCTAAAGCCCAGCTGTGAAACTACATATGGACGAGGGAGTAGTTGATTCTTGTGACCTAGATATAAGAACAAGGCTCATTTTTTTTTTTTTTGTAAACTCGATCTGACTGAATGCTGCAGTTCACTGCTATAACATAGAGCTTTATTTATGAGTGTCCTCGTTTAGAAAGACTCCATCATAGAACTGTCACTGAAATGTAAATTCACAGCACCATAATTGGTGAGATCATAAAAAAGGTATTGGTAGTGACTGAGATGTTGCATATTGGTCGCTTTTCTCTATCAGCTGAAGACTGCAACAAAAAAACAAGACTGAAAATTTTACAAACAGGCAGGTTAATTAGTAGAATTTCTCACCTACATTATACCGTGTGATGTGGGTTAGCTTTTGTTCCAGGGGAAGTAAACCCAACATTGCAAAAGCCCTTAATTGCCAAATAGGCTGTAACTTGCGAGACAACATACATTTTATCCTTTCGATTTTAACATTAATTTTGATACTAATAACATTTATTTTAAAGAATTGTCTTAATTGACAAAGTGATTATTTTGAGTGAAAATGTAAGAAAAATCATACTTAAAAATTTTTACAGATGAATACTGTCAAAAGTTCTGTAATTACTAATGCAAATTGGGGTATGCCTCTTTTAAAAAAGAGGAACATTTATGCCTCTTTTACTTTTTGAAAAAGGCTCAACCCTTCAAATTGAATGAAGAGCATCGATAAACATGCATTTAGAGTCTTTCTTCAGATTCTGAATCATATTTCAGTTTGGATTTAGACTGGGCAAATTCTACACATGATTGCACTTTAATCTAAACCATTTCATTGCAGGTATGGCTCTAGAGTTAGAATTGGAAATCTCAAGTCTCAGTCAAAAGTCTTCTACTTTGTCTAATTGATTTAGTTAGACTTAAACTTAGACCATTTTTATTGACATTTGTATACACAGAGTGTTTACAGAACAAAATTTCATTAAGTACAGCTTTTCAGACAGTAAATGAATGTTTCCATTCCATAAAATGCAGCGGTAATCAAATGTAAACAGTGTGGGAGAAAAAACATGGTGCAAAAAAAGCATTCATATGGAAGTTCAGAGCATAAAATAATATATGGTGCAAATATAAAGTGTTGTCAGTGTGATGCTGTCTGTGACATGAGATTTTGTCTACTGTTCAGCAGTCTGATGGTGGTGGGGAAGAAAGTGTTTCAGAATCTGCTGGACCTGCATTGAATGCTGCAAGCCTCTTCCCAGAGGGCAGCAGAGAGAACAGTCCATGGTTGAGCTGTGAGGGGTCATTGTAATGTTACGGGCTCGGGACACGCAGCACTGAGACGAAATGTGTTTTATGGAGAGAGCCCGAATATCCCCTCTGGTGTTCTCACCACTCTTCTCGCTTTCTCCCAGTCTGAGGTGCCGCAGCCTCCACAGCACACAGTAAGACAGCTGGTCAGAACGCTCTCTATGGTGCTTCTGCGGAAGGTCGTGAGGATGGGTGGGGGCAGGTCTTGTTTTGTTTTCATCTGATTAGATTGTATCTTATCAGTTTAGTGTTTATTAGTTAACTAGAATTTCATATTTCTCAGGATTAGTGCAGTTTTTAGCTGCTTTTTGGGCTGGAGCCCTAGAAAACAGGCTGATTGACTTCTTTAGTACACGATGGACTTTACATTTATATATTTGATTCAGGTGTGCTGAAAAAGATAGCAATCCAAATGTGGACAATGGCTCCAAACACTGAAGATTGAAATTTGTATGCTTGTTGAAAATTTCTGCTCTGCTCTACAACTTGATCCTTGGCCTGTCTGTTCTATTCCTGGGTGTTGATAGTTCACTAATATTCTTGATCAACCAGTGTCAAGCTCAGAACAATTAGACCCAGGGTTCGAGGTGGACCAACAGATTTCTTAAAAAAGGTTTGTTAGAAATGGACTTGAAGTCAACTGCGGCGGCATCTAAAGCCAGGCATACACTGTGTGATTTTTTCAATTGTTACACGCAGCTACATCTAAAACTGTACGACAAAACTGGGGTTTCGTCGTACAGTGTGAGTTCATTGCTCAGGATGTATATTTCCACAATTTCCTGTGCAGCCCGATGCTCTGATGCGATCTACCTGCTCACACTGTACGTCTAAAAACCATGTTGGACTTGTCTATCCGGAACCCAAACCTGTAAAAGAGGAATATGAAGCTCACTACAGTGCAACGCTCTGCCTTGGCAATTTATGCAATGTTGTGTGGTGAAAGCTCTAAAAAGAAAAGGTGATGACGTATTTGGTTAAAGACGTGGCTGCTACAGTCTGTCAGTTTTACAGAAAGAACACCATTTCACTCACACCCCTGCCATGCTTCTGTGTTTTTATCTGAGAGGAAGAAGGAGAAGACTCCTTGTTTGCGCATGCCCACTGAGCGATTTGCCCACGACGTCCGACTGAAAATCAAACATGATTGATTTTCTCCCGACCTCATGATTCCTGATCAGGAGGTGATCGTGAGAGGCTGATCGCCTCTCGTTACCCCCTATAAACTACACGATGCACAAGGCACGATCAGGCTGAAAGTTGGGCTGACCGAAAAATTATTGCATGACTGGAAAGTCGGCCCGAAAAGGGCAGAAAATCGCACAGTGTATACCCGGCTTAAGGCAGGAATATCTGCAAGATAATCCAGAAGGTTAAGCCAAAACCGATGTCAAAGACAAGCTCAGTTATCAGAGCCAGGAGATCAGAGGTCTGAAGAGGTACCGAAGGGAAATCCAGAACAGAGCTGGGAAACAGTTCCAGGTTTGGTTAAAGGAATAGTACACCCAAAACATGATTAGCCTTCATTTTCTACTCACCCCCATGCTGAACAACACTCTGGAGTACTTTTTTGNAGCTGGTCAGAACGCTCTCTATGGTGCTTCTGCGGAAGGTCGTGAGGATGGGTGGGGGCAGGTCTTGTTTTGTTTTCATCTGATTAGATTGTATCTTATCAGTTTAGTGTTTATTAGTTAACTAGAATTTCATATTTCTCAGGATTAGTGCAGTTTTTAGCTGCTTTTTGGGCTGGAGCCCTAGAAAACAGGCTGATTGACTTCTTTAGTACACGATGGACTTTACATTTATATATTTGATTCAGGTGTGCTGAAAAAGATAGCAATCCAAATGTGGACAATGGCTCCAAACACTGAAGATTGAAATTTGTATGCTTGTTGAAAATTTCTGCTCTGCTCTACAACTTGATCCTTGGCCTGTCTGTTCTATTCCTGGGTGTTGATAGTTCACTAATATTCTTGATCAACCAGTGTCAAGCTCAGAACAATTAGACCCAGGGTTCGAGGTGGACCAACAGATTTCTTAAAAAAGGTTTGTTAGAAATGGACCTGCAGTCAACTGCGGCGGCATCTAAAGCCAGGCATACACTGTGTGATTTTTTCAATTGTTACACGCAGCTACATCTAAAACTGTACGACAAAACTGGGGTTTCGTCGTACAGTGTGAGTTCATGGCTCAGGATGTATATTTCCACAATTTCCTGTGCAGCCCGATGCTCTGATGCGATCTACCTGCTCACACTGTACGTCTAAAAACCATGTTGGACTTGTCTATCCGGAACCCAAACCTGTAAAAGAGGAATATGAAGCTCACTACAGTGCAACGCTCTGCCTTGGCAATTTATGCAATGTTGTGTGGTGAAAGCTCTAAAAAGAAAAGGTGATGACGTATTTGGTTAAAGACGTGGCTGCTACAGTCTGTCAGTTTTACAGAAAGAACACCATTTCACTCGCACCCCTGCCATGCTTCTGTGTTTTTATCTGAGAGGAAGAAGGAGAAGAGTCTTTGTTTGCGCATACCCACTGAGGGATTTGCCACGACGTCCGACTGAAAATCAAAAATGTTTGATTTTCTCCCGACCTCATGATTCCTGATCAGGAGGTGGTCGTGTGTGGCTGATTGCCTCTCGTTACCCCCTATAAACTACACGATGGACAAGGCACGATCAGGCTGAATGTTGGGCTGACTGAAAAATTATTGCCCGACTGGAAAGTCGGCCCGAAAAGGGCAAAAAATCGCACAGTGTATACCCAGCTTAAGGCAAGAATATCTGCAGGATAATCCGGAAGGTTAAGCCAAAACCGATGTCAAAGACAAGCTCATATATCAGAGCCAGGAGATCAGAGGTCTGAAGAGGTACTGAAGGGAAATCCAGAACAGAGCTGGGAAACAGTTCCAGGTTTGGTTAACATAGGTCAGGCAAACAGATCAGAATGGGGACAGGCAGGCTCAGAGGTAGGCTCGAAAAATCTGGCACTGATGACTGGACTGAAGGCTGATTAAATAGAGGCTGCAGCAAGTGGATTAAATGAACGGTAATGAGAACTGGGAGGATATAAACAGGTGAATGAAATTAGTAACTGGACCATTCATTAGTGCCAAGATCATGACATTTATTTTACACAGTTGGACTTTGTTGACTATAATGCTACGCATGTGCTGGAAGCAGTAAAACAGCTTCTGCTGCTTCATTTTTGATGCTTGTATCCATTAAGGTCCTACACGTCTCAAGTGCATCTTTGACACTCCTGAGGTGCTTCCAGTGTGTCTATGCTTCTGCTGCTCCTGTGTTCAATGGCAAAGAGCGGCTTTGCTATATTTTCTATGTGGGTACAAGTACTCTTAATATATGTTAAGTGGCAAAGTCCACCTGAAAACTTCATCTGTGCTATCATTTCATCAAGATTACGACCCTGCCTTTTCAATTATTATTT